TTGAGCCCTCTTGGGGCGCCTTGAGGGCATCCTCATCTTGAGACCAATTTGGGCATCTTAGACGGCTCTTGGGCCGAGTCGGGCCTCCTTGGGCCGTCTTGGTAGGGGCCTCTTGGGGCCCTTTTGGCTCCGACACTATATGCGGCAAGACCCGGTAGCGCCCAGGGGCTCTGGGGAGCGTCCGTTCCTCGAGGCTGTGGGCTCCTTACGTAGCCAATCTTCAGGACCTGGGACTCGATGGACCTGACGACCTTCCATCTCGTGTCTTGTGCCTAAGGGAACGGTGGCGGATTTGAAACCTTGTGTGTGTTGTGGAGCCTTTTGCGTGTGTGAGCCCATTGAGCCCCACGCGTGTGTGTGTGTGTGTGTGTGTGTGTGTGTGTGTGTGTGTGCGTGTGTGTGTGTGTGTGCGTGCGTGCGTGCGTGCGTGCGTGTGTGTGTGTGTGTGTGTGAGGGTGTGGAACCTTGTGTGTGTGTGTGTGCGAAGGCCTATGCGTGATGAGCTCTACGTGTGAAGCCCAGAGCACGCGGCATTTTGCGTGTGCGTGTGGAAGTTCATGTTTGCTGAGCTCAATGAGTGTGGAGCCTACGTGTGTGGAGGCGAGGATGTACGAGTATAGCGCCTGTGTGTGTCGGACGGCTGAGCTGGACCGGACCGCTTGCTCGCCTGACCTGAGCTACGCCACGCCACCGCTCGCGTGGCCGCGTGTGCGCGTGTGTGCGCGTGTCCGCACGGCCCCCGCTGTCGCTGTTGGCCTTGCCAGCGCACTCAGCATAGAATCCTTCCGTCTGAGTGCCCTCCGCCCTCTCTTGTCCTTCGCGGCCGTCCTGTCTGTCTAGTTCCCCCTCCTGCACGCCGGCCAATTCGCGTATTGGTTGCCCCGGATCGCCGTTCGCTGGTGCAGTTCTGCGTCGCCGTTGACGTACATAAGTGTGCGCGTGTATTTGTGTGCTTACACGACTCGTCGCTTCGAGTGAGGCCGCGATCGCCAACAGTGTGTGTATGTGTGCTTGTGTGCTTGTGTGTGTTTGTGTGAGACAGAAGAGAGCGGTTCTCGTCCTGCATGCTGTTCGGTTGTGTGTGTGGAGCCTTGTGCGTGATGAGCCTCAAACGCGTGTCTGTGTGTGCGTGTGTGGGATCGAATGCTTGTAGGATTATCCGTGTGTAGAAGTCAACGTATGCAGAACCTCATGTGCGCGTCTGGGGCTCAAGGTGTGTGGAACTCATTGTATGTGAAATCCAATGTGTGAGCCGAGCCACTGGGAGTGCGAGCCGAGCCACCTGGGGTCCAACCAAGCCATGAGGATCCAAGCCATGAGGTTCCAAGCAACCACCCGGTAAAGCGTGGCAACTACGGCCAATGATTGGGGAGGCCGCAAGGCGTCATAGCAAGCCAAACCACAGAAATCCAAGCGGCCACGAAAACAGGGTGATAAACATAACCCCACAGGGCAAGCGCTGCTTTGCGAACTGAGTCGCCTCCGAACATCGTTCCTGAAACTGTGTGCCGCGTGCCTGTGAGGTTGGCGATCTGAACAAGGTAGGCCGTCCCAGACACCATTTCTAGAGATGCGCCCAGAGCCCGTGCAAGCAGAACGCCAGTTGTGTCGGTCGCGGAATGGGAGCACAGGTTCTGGTACTATTTTTGGTTTGTGGACTGTTGACGCAGCTGGTAGTAGCCTTGAGGCGCGTGCGGACGAGTGAGCGGAAATCCCGCTTGGTGTTGCTGGCTAACCTTGGGCCATCTTTCGGGTACTTCTGGCTCTTTTGGCTCATCGGCCAGACCTATGACATCGCCGCATCCTTCGAGGCGCTGGAGGCACATCCTCGTCCTTGCCTACCCACACGTGGTGGAGGGGGCGCGGGGTTGTTCCTGGCCCGAGCTTGGTGAGGCTCCGGGCTGCGCGCAGACAGCCCCCCCGGGTAGTCCCGGGTGGACTCAGCAGGTCCCCCCCCGAGTAGCCCCAGCTGGTCTCAACGGGCCCCCCCGCTCAGTCCGGAGCGGGCTCAGCACCCAAACCCTGGGGGACCGGGCGGCACAGAGCGCCTCAGGGGCACTGCCTGAGGCGGCGCCATGTCGTGGAGTCGGGGCTCGCGAGACGGGGCTCAATGCAAACGGGGTCCAGCCAGAGCGCCAGATCTTGCAGGATCCTGCAGGGCCAGGGGTGCACCGACCAGGGCTTGGGCGCAGGATCCTGCAAGATCTTGCAGGATCATGCAAGGCCTGACTGGCCCGGGTCTGGACTGACCCGGGCCAGAAGATCCCCGATTGAGGCCGTCCGGTGCTTAAGCAGGCCAGCCTGGCCTAGGAGCGCCTGTCGAGGCTGGCCCGGACCACTTGTGGGGCTGTCTGCGCGCAACCCGAAACCTTACGATCCGAGCTGCCTGCAGCTTCTCGCTCCATTCTGGAGCTCCCGAGCCCTGAGGGCTACGTGAGGGGTGCTCTGGTCAGGTGGTCCCAAAACGGTGCGGTGATGACACCGCGTGGTGAGTCAGTGG